AGGGACTCACATTCATAGCACTTCCTACTGCCCCTTCCGTGTGGATAGTACGTTTGAACATCGAAGTCCCAGCTTCAACCACTTGACCAATCAAAACAATCTTGGGCCGAAATGAGCTCCACGTTGAATTACCCCCCGCAAGTACGGCACCACCAAAGCATGCAGGTCGCCAAGTAGGATGATGCCAAAGACGAGGACGCTTAAGCTTACGGCAGCTTGATCCCTTCGTTGTTCACTGCGACAACAATGCCAGAGGAGTCACAATGCTGCAAATGCTGGACCCAAACAAGTGGTGACTTCCCGGCCTGATGCAGCGGACAGAGATCGAACAAGTCGACGTATTTGCGCTTTCATGGTCGAATCACGCTGCTGCTCGAGTGAAATATAATGTAAACAATCAATTTAAGAGGTTCAATCAATTTAAGATAAAATGGGCGAAATAACCTAACCACAATATTTATATGCAAAGAGCCTCGATCGAATAAGTCGACGTATTTGCGCTTTCATGGTCGAATCACGCTGCTGCTCGAGTGAAATATAATGTAAACAATCAATTTAAGAGGTTCAATCAATTTAAGATAAAATGGGCGAAATAACCTAACCACAATATTTATATGCAAAGAGCCTCGATCGAATAAGTCGACGTATTTGCGCTTTCATGGTCGAATCACGCTGCTGCTCGAGTGAAATATAACGTAAACAATCAGCTTAAGTGCTTTTAAAGATAAAATGTGCATGGGCCAATGAAACGAGGCGAAATAACCTAACCACACAATTTATATGCAAAGACGTATACGTTGTTTAAGATAAATATCTGCGTCCTAATTTGATTGTTAAAATTAGATCACACTTGCTTGGGTTTCATTGGAAATGCACCGAAACCGAATATAAATGATATGAGGTAGTTCCCCATTAATTCAAATAGAATCTCCAGGTTTCAGAGGCCGAAAAGGTTATAAATTATGCGCGGGGAGCTTTGGAAGTTCTCCCCAGCCGCCTTCCTCGGATGCGTCTTAAATTGATTGTTTACGTTAACTGCAAGGCTTGCCAGTCACGGCTCCCATGTTGTATTTGCTACAGTAGTATGCACAACCGGGGTTCAATGCGCGTGCAGAAGAGCATCTTGGCGTCGAAGATCTCAATGCCGTGCTTCACTAACGTTAGGATGATATCATTCACGGCGAAGAGCGGCACATCGGCCGCGGCGAGTTTGGTGTGGCAAATTGGCGGGAATGGCCCAAATGGATTTTATTACCTACAAACACCAAGGTTACTTTAACCATTTCTTAAATATTGTGCGAGGAACTTCTTTTACATTTTTATTATATTTCATGATAATTAAAATATGAAGCGCGAGTAGCTCAGTGGTAGAGCGTCAGATTGCAGCTCTGAGGGTCACTGGTTCGAACCCGGTCTGGCGCTTCCTTTTTTCTTTTTCACCAAGTTTAGTCTTTTTGTAACCGGTTTCCATGTTGATTGATTTGTGATCTGACCTTCGTCTGTGAAATTGACCAATTTAGTGAATCTTACAAAATACGATTCGACGGGCAGACACTGCATCCATGTACTTGCGGCACATGCAGTTCCAATGTAGCAAGCAATGGACTGGAGGCCCACGTGTCCGCGCTATGTGCGACGCCTGGCGCCAAGTTTGACCTGAGGGGGTATCTTCGCATCACAACAGTATCCTCGGGAGTTCCATGAGATTTGGCAGATATGACAACGTTCGGGGCGGATGCCATATGAGCGCGTGGCTCAGCTGCAAGTATCGAGGAAGGGCCGACAGTGTTATAGGGAGCAGGCGTGGACACTAAACTCGATGGAGTGAATGGCACGTGTGCTTTCGGAGCTGGCGTTGCTCGTTTCGATGAAAGCCGATATCGATTTTCCATGGCGACAAACCAAAGACTTATCGAGTGAAGACGGCCCCGACGAAGCCGCTCGTGAGCCAGCAGGTCGGAACATGCCGCGATATGATGCTGATTCCCCGACCGACAAGCTCGTGCGTAAGCTGGCGCGAGTCACCCACGGAACCCCGGTTGTGAATATTAGTGTAACAAATACTACTACTAGTATTAATACATGGGAACCGTGACTGGCAATTTATGCAGTTATATTGCACTCGAGATACAGCGTGATTCGACCGAATTGTTCGATCGAGGCTTGCAGAAGTCTCATGTAGGATACTAAGCTTAGTACAAAATGAAGACGCTTACATGTTAATGTCCATGTTCTCTACGTTTTGATTGACAAGTCAACATGTTAGGTTTATAGGTTGTCAATGGACGACAAGAAAAAAGGAAGCGCCAGACCGGGTTCGAACCAGTGACCCTCAGAGCTGCAATCTGACGCTCTACCACTGAGCTACTCGCGCTTCATACATTTCAACTCATTTTTATTATATAATAATAATAATACAAATGTTGTGTGCAATTTCAAAAACAAGGACCCAATCCATATGCTTTATTGTGGTATGCCAAACTGCAAGTGGGCAAAATCCTGTCGGAAAATTCCCCTTACTCCTTTGCATTACCGCAATTCGCTGGGATTATGCGACCAATATACAGGGACTCACATTCATAGCACTTCCTACTGCCCCTTCCGTGTGGATAGTACGTTTGAACATCGAAGTCCCAGCTTCAACCACTTGACCAATCAAAACAATCTTGGGCCGAAATGAGCTCCACGTTGAATTACCCCCCGCAAGTACGGCACCACCAAAGCATGCAGGTCGCCAAGTAGGATGATGCCAAAGACGAGGACGCTTAAGCTTACGGCAGCTTGATCCCTTCGTTGTTCACTGCGACAACAATGCCAGAGGAGTCACAATGCTGCAAATGCTGGACCCAAACAAGTGGTGACTTCCCGGCCTGATGCAGCGGACAGAGATAGGTTCGAGAATGCCAGGCTTTCAAGGACAATCGCGATGCATTTGATAGGGTGTTATCGAGTTGTGTTGGGCTGTGGGCTATTTGGCTTGCTACATGGAGCCGACTGAAGGACCCGCGGAGTGGTCGGCATGCTCCTGTTTATGTGGTGGCGGTACTGTTTCGATAAAGTCCGATACCTGGGTTGAACGACCAAGATGAAAAGTATTATTTGCACAGAATATTATTTAAAGCAATAGCCCGTCTATTTAAATCAATTCAATCGATTGTTTTGATTGACGTTGTTAAAATCAGGTAAATACTTTAACGGAGTGTCCATGGCAGCCTTCACCACCGTAGACTACTCAGCTGTCATTTTCGATTTGGATCACTTTACGCAATGCTGCGATTCCACCGACGTGCGTTAGGACCTCTCCAGAAGGGCGTGTCGTCCTTCTCCTCCACGGCCACGAAGGAGAAGCTCTTTGACAAGGTACTCATTGCGAACCGCGGTGAAATCGCCTGCCGTGTCATCCGCACGTGCCGCCGTCTCGGTATGTGTGTCTTTGTCATCTTCACTGCAATTCATCCCAACCTCATGTCTCATGGATCTACAGGAATCAAGACGGTGGCAGTGTATTCGGAACCTGATGTAAACTCTGTGCACGTTCGGCTTGCAGACGAAGCCGTGTGCGTCGGGTACGTTGTCATCCACCATTCTTCGTTGCTCATGCCGCTGGCGCTAGTCCTGCCAAGTCTGCGAACAGCTACCTCAACATTGACCGCATCATGGATGCTGTCCGTCAAACTGGCGCGCAAGCGGTACGTCCGTCATCCTTCCCAAGCAAGTCGTCTAAATGGGGTACGATCGATAGGTGCACCCGGGGTATGGCTTTTTATCAGAGAACAAATTGTTTTGCGACGCATTGGACAAGGCCGGCGTGACCTTTATCGGTCCTGGGTTCCATGCCATCGAAGCTATGGGGGACAAGATCGAATCCAAGCAAATTGCCATCGATGCCGGTGTACGGACAACCGTTCATATCCATCAAGCGGAATTCCTCCTCATTTCGTACACAGGTCAACACGATTCCGGGGTTTCAAGGCGTCATCCAGGACGAAGACGAAGCCGTCAAGGTGGCCCGTGAGGTCGGATACCCTGGTACATCCCCATCTTCGTTCTTGTACACCAAAGCTTAACCATTCGGCGTAGTCATGGTCAAGGCGAGCGCGGGCGGTGGCGGCAAGGGCATGCGCGTGGCGTACAACGACGCCGAAGTGCGCGAAGGGTACCGTTTGTCCAAGGAGGAAGCGGCCAACTCGTTTGGCGACGACCGCATGTTCATCGAAAAGTTCATCGAAGACCCGCGACACATTGAAATCCAGCTGCTCGCCGACACCCACGGCAACTACGTGCCCTTCCCCGAGCGAGAATGCTCCATCCAACGCCGCAACCAAAAGGTGATCGAGGAAGCGCCCAGTATGCTCTTGGACGAAGCCACGCGCCGCGCCATGGGGTACGATATGCCTACTCGATATTTTTATATACTTTGTACTGAATTTTGTATGTCAAGAGGGACTTGCTTGGTATCACACTAATTGAAATCACACACTAATTTTACGTTGTTGATGGTTTCCTGCAACCTGATTGGCTAAAATTATTTTGCCGATAATTCTTGTCACTCCAGTTTAGAATAAGCACACAACAATACTACTTTAAGAGTCTTTTTATCTATCTTTTTATATATATGCTGATGCTGTTGTTGTTATTCAGGGCTCAAGCAGTGATGCTGGCCAAGAAGGTCGGGTACACGTCGGCAGGAACGGTGGAATTCCTCTGTGATAAGCACAAGAACTTTTATTTCTTGGAAATGAACACGCGGCTGCAGGTACGATGACAACTTGATGGACATTTGACACGTGATACATTTATATATATATATTCACACCCTGGGATGTGTATAAATATTACAGAGTGATTTCGTCAAATTTTAAAAACTCGAATTCATTTTCATGTAAAAGTAATCGAATCTATTTCAAACTACAATAATATATGTGTGTGGTGTGGAAGGGCGATTGATTTAAATGTTTTAAAACGTTTTCAAAAACTGCATCGTTTTGTGTCTTTACAAAAAATGAAGTTGAATAATTTCAAAAGGTATTTCTTGAAAAAGTACTACGATTTGGACACGACGGATTCTACATTAAATGTTACTATATATATATATATCCCAATCCTGGTATTTGTCGACTCGATGACCTGGGTTTCGCCCGAGAATATCTCTCAAATATATGTAGGTCGAGCACCCTGTCACAGAACTCATCACGAAAGTGGACTTGGTCGAGCAAATGCTTCGCATTGCGGCGGGTCATGCTCTGCCTGCGCACTTGACGTCTGGCCCGTTGCCGATCTACGGTAACTTGATAAATCTGTTAACTGTCTAGTTAATTGGTAGTTTTAACACTGTATTTAGGATGGGCGATGGAAAGCCGCGTGTATGCCGAAGACCCCCTCCGCGGATTCCTCCCCTCCATCGGGCGGTTGCTCACTTATGACGAGCCGCACCATCTGCCCGGCGTCCGCGTCGACTCGGGCGTGACGGAAGGCAGCGACATTAGCATGCACTACGACCCGATGATTTCCAAGCTCGTGACCCATGGCAAGGTATGTTGTGCACTTCTTCTTTCTGTATATATATATATATATCTTGTCTTTTTTCGCTGACATTTGGACTTGTTCGAGAATATATATCGATGTGTGTCTAGTTGACCTTCTATTCAATGTACTAGTATTATATTATTGTATACAATAATGATTGTTGTTGATTGGTTCAATCAGCTCTGTCCATCGTATCCTTTGATTGGCTGGGACATTCTAAACACAACATTGGCCGAATAATTCGAATTTGACCATATAAATATATATATGTAGGACCGCAAAGAGTGTCTTGAACGCATGAAGTTTGCGCTGGACCACTATGTGATTCGCGGCCCGGGCAACAACATGGCGTTCATGCAAGACGTGTACCGGCACCCTCGGTTCGAGTCTGGCAACATCACGACCAAATTCATCGCGGAAGAGTACCCCGACGGCTTCACGGGCGTCAAACTCGACGCGGAGCAGACCCACGAGGTGATCGTCGCCGGCGCGCTCATGCACCTCAAGGCGTCGCGGTCCTCCAACAAGAACAAGGCGGCGCAAGTGTGGACGACCGCCGCCGGCACCACCGTGACCCAACTGCCCGAGTCGTTTCAAGGAGGTAGGTACAAAGCAATATTCGCCAATATTTTCATTATTTAACTCAAATATTTGGACTTTTTTGCTGACTCGCCAAATATCGATCCTTCCTTGTATGGAATGTTGTATGTAAAACAAGGGGGATGTATGGTGTTACACTAATTAAATTCACACACTAATTCGAAGTTGCTGCTAGTTTCCTGCAATCTGATTGGCTCAATCATTCTTTGTTGATTCTTTCGTCGGTAGTGTTGCGCTTTTCAGTCAAATTTGCCTATTTTGGGGGATTGACGAAATGCATTCTCCACGTCGATCCAGTTTGAATAGAACATGATATCTTTATATATATATATATAAATATAAACAATCAATGCATGTATTCTCATGTATAAGATATATATATATATATATATATATACGTAGTGGTGGCGTTGGAAGCCGAGAACGCCACGTCATCGGACGTGCTATCCTGGTTGAACACACTGCCGTCCACTGTGGGTACGTGAGTCATTCGATTCGATGGCAAGTTTTGATTGGCTAAATTGTTTATTGTTATTAACAGGGTCGCATGTATTTGTAAGTGCCCACGGGCCATTCGGAGAAGCGCACGCGGTCCGCGCCGTGGCGGTTGGCTCCACCATCTACGCCAGCGTGGGCGGGTCATCCAACTGGGTGATCGTCAACGACTTCGACTGGTCCCCCAAGGCGCCGCTCTTTAGCGCCGACATTTCCGCCAACCGCCGCGCGCTGCAAGTGCTCAAAAAGTTGCCGGAAGGGTTCCAGATCCAGCATCACGGCGCCGTCCACGATGTGGTAGGCGGCATACGTCGTTATGATCAGGTTTTGATTGTATGGGTAGATTGTACGATCGCCCAAGGAACACGAGCTGTCCGTGTACATGAAGCCCAAGCCTAAAGTGGATCTGAGTCGATTCGTGCTGTGCCCGATGCCTGGTGAGTTTAGACATTGGTGAATGTTTACGTAATCTTCGTAATATGTAGGTCTGTTGGTGTCGGTGGCTGTGCAAGCTGGCGACCATGTGCAAATTGGCCAAGAAGTGGCTGTGGTTGAAGCCATGAAGATGCAAAATGTCATTCGCGCGTCTAAAAAAGGTATGTTGTTAGTTACTTGGTATAGTTGTTAGTTACTTTTGTTAATCATTTGGTGAGTAGGTATAATCAAGGCCGTGCTGCACCCTGCTGGCGCTGCGCTTAAAGTCGACGAAATCATCGTCGAATTCGAGTAGATACAGCAATAGTAGCCGTAGTTTCGTTTTTAAACACGTGTTCACCAACCAACACACCCTGGTTACTCTATTTGTCTTGATCAAGAAATACTAACCGAGTACTACAGTACTAACTACTAGTAGTGCACAACCAGTTGGAGGTGTATGTACGTGTACACATATGTACCTTACTGTACTCCGACCAGCCATAATCCATGATGTAGCCGTTCCAGTTTCTACTATATACACTAGTACGACGAAGGTCAGCCCGACCATCAGAGTCGGGGCGGAATGTGACGTCCCGATGCCCTTTGACCATGTTGAACGAGGTCTTTGCATACCGACGCTTACGATGGACCTTACCTATGAAAGGGGAAAAAGAGAAAAAGTGTGGCCTCTTCCGATGATCGAAATCGGGACCTCCTGCACCCTAAGCAGGAATCATACCACTAGACCAAAGAGGCTTTCTTATCGATACATAAGATATATAATATAATAAACGTATCGGCTTATTTCGCGTTGTTGGAGCGTTCAAGTCTGGGGGGATCGCCAACTTCACAGGCGGATCATCACGAACCGAAGATAATATTATAGAAAACAGTTACCGGTAGGTAACAGCGCGTCTGGCAACACTTTTTTATCAGAAATATAGTAATAAAGTACCCCAAAACGCTTCTTTGAGGTAAAATGGAATAATGCGTCAGGAGTCTGGCAACAAGTACATATAATGCCAATATTTGGCGATTTGAAAATACTGCTCCATGGTCCATTTGATTATTGAAGAATGGTGTTGGAATATGAGTTGTTTCAAATTCCATACCAATTACAACCAGGAACATACGCACCGTGAGCTCCAACGCCGTTTGGTTGAGCTGTGTGACCTGGTGGTCAGTTAACCTCATTTTGAACCCGCTGTCGTTTGCCGAGTCAGGTTGGGCTTGTAGCTGCGACACAAAAGCGAGCGCCTTGGTGGCACGGCTGTCCTTCATTCCGAACGATGTTGTCATTTCAAATTGTTCTGATAGAAAAGCAGAATGACGGGTCTGGCAAAAAGTACCCATGTTTTCACACAAAATGGAGTTTTCGTTGTTATTCAATAATTATTACTGATTGAGATATTCGCTCCCCCACGAAATTCCATTTTATCCTCCACCTGTTTACAAGACGCGCTCTAATAACGAATTTGAGGGTGAAAGAACTGCAGGAAATGACCGACACAAGGTTGTTGACTTGGACAAACGCGAACATCATGACAAAGATGGCCAAATCGCCCGACGCGGTCTTGGGCGCGATTTATTCCGAGTGTCGAGATGGAAACGCCAAACCAGTCGAATATGTATCCCCCTCATCAACCCCCCCGTTGTTCATGCAACCTACCTCGAGCCCATACACTTGACGCCAGCAGCAGTTTGTCGGGGGAGTCTGCATGTACAGTAGCTGGATCATGTGGTCACGAGGTTGGAGTCTGCAAATGTCATTTCACGACTTCATCACTTGAAGCATCGAGAGAAATTGAGGTGTCCTGTCGTGACAATTTCCAAAACAGCCGAGTGGTGCATGGAGAGGAGATTTCGATTCACGCAGTCGCGACCCCGATCAAATCGACAACGGAAAACATACTCGTGACGACTTCGAGGAGCAGGGGGGAGAGCATTCCCTCATGTGATATTGCTACATAATGGTGTTTGGGGGTACTATGTAGCGAAATGGGGGAAGTACTAGTCGTGCTTGGCTGCGAAGTGGATGCCGAGCACGTTTGTCGCGGCTGAACGTACAATCCCGACGAGATGGTAGGAGGTGTATAAATACTCAAACAGCCAAATTGATGATGTAGCTGTTCATAGTAAGAACGCGACCATGACGAAGCACTGCCATCAGAGGCGACAACTCGAGGTTTCGACGCGGAATGTCTCGCCGTTTTGTCCAGGGAGCAGCTTCAACGTCCCAATGCGGGAATCGATGTTTGTTCCCCCTTTGAACATGTTGAACGACCCTCGAAAGGTCTTTGCATACCGACGCTTACTGCCCTGGACGATGGACCTTAACTATGAAAGGGGAAAAAGAGAAAAAGTGTGGCCCCTTCCGATGATCGAAATCGGGACCTCCTGCACCCTAAGCAGGAATCATACCACTAGACCAAAGAGGCTTTCTTGATATGTCAAAGAACATTGACATAACATTATGTGATATTTAGTGTTGGAACCACAGGATTGAAGTATTCCTGGGTTTATAGGGATTTGGTTGGGGGTAGTGGACGAACCAAGACGATGACGGATGACGATGTGGTGATGCTGAGTACGCTGCAGATCGAACGAACTCAGCGGCGGCCTCAATACAAAGTACGTTTACTCTGGATGGGTCAGACGTTCAAGTCTGGGGTGATCGCCAACTTCACAGGTGAATCATCACGAATAGAAGATAATATTATAGAAAACAGTTATTCAAATATATTTATGAAATCTATTTACTCTATTCCTAGTCCTGTGCATATGTGTTGGTACCTGGGACGATGACTTGGTGCGCAATGGATCGAGTAAATCCTGGAATAGGCAGCCCACATCGATTGGAAACAAATACCACCTTGACCCAATCTTTTGTGCTTTTTACTTCATGTCAAAATTCATTTTCCATACCAATATACCGGTATTCAAACCAGATTGATTGAAGAAAGTCCAACAACAATTTCGGGGTTTCGGGGTTTCAATGATCAGGTACTTGGGTATTTTGGTTATTTCTGGTTTTGTCCCAAAATTAACCAGACCATTTGGAGGTGCATGCTCTAACGGGGTTTCGGGGTCGGGTTTTAGGCGCCTAAACCCCGAAACCATACGAGAAACGGTGTCTCAGCTGGTAGTTTTACTTGGTGTTTGTATTGAATGGTTCGTCTATATTTAGACGCTTGGCTCATACTCGGAGTATTATGAACAAGCTCACCCATGTCAAGCTCGCCACGATGGACTTCCTGCACGAGCGCAAGCTCAGTGCCATGGAGGTCCCGAGAAACAACCTCAAACTCGTGTGAGATTTCTGTACTCACGACCCCCTCGTCGCCTCTCACGTCGTTAGTTGTCCACTGTAGATGCATCGACTGTCCCACGCCCTATTGCAAGGGCTAGACTATTGGAGGCTGCAGCCCCAAGAGGTGACCGGCGTACAGCGCGGGCACGACACCGTCTTCAACATCGACTACGTGGCGAGCGTTGTCAAGTGCCTCTTGCCCGTGGCCGTACGTTGTCGTCGTCCTTTGACTACCTGACGATTCTCGATATTTGCTGTGTAGACACGAATGGTATAACTCATTGCTTCCGATCGATCCGAAGTGGTAAACAAGGCGTGCGGCACCGTGGCCGACGGCGTCCACGGCTTTCGCCAACACCGCGAACCCCTCGCTTATCAACACAGCGCACAACAAGATCAAGGCTTTGTTGAAGCGGGCCAATAGTGCCCGACAAAAATAACAACAGTGTCGAGATATGACCTTGACGTCCTTGTCGGCCTGTGCGGACAAACGGGGTCTGGTACGTGGATACATGTATGTGCTCACCACGCGGTAACTGAGGGTCGATGCCTCATCGTCAACCAAGCGACGACGGTCCTCACCTGTGGCCCACTTCGGAAGTGGCTGAGCACCACGACAAGTTGTACTGTACAAGCTCGTTCGACTGCCGGTCCGCGAGCCATGGTACGGTAAAGTATACCATGTCGTTGGCTGAATGAATGTACAGGACGAGCGCATTGGAAAATACTTTGATTTGGCTGAGATAACGTTATGAAAGAAGTGGCAGTCGATGCTAACGCCCACTGTTAGGTATGGGACGATATTGCTCTTCCACAGAACACGAGAGAGAGTGAAGTGGCTATCCTAATTGCCAAGGTTCTAGAGTCCTAGATTATGCTTTCTGGCGACGTTTCGCGCTACCCTTAACTTCTACTAGTACTACAGTTGTAGTCAGTCTTCAGTGACGACTCTTCGGCAATCTCGTTATTATATTACCGATAGTTTCTCATTTGAGTCGCGCCTAACAGCAAGGCAGGCCCTCACTATCGAACGTGGACTTCGGCAGCGGTTGTTGGAGGAAGAAAACACTTCACCGTGCCAGAAGCATTAACCAGCACATTACTTGACAATGAATTCGAATCCTGAGCTCACGACCTCAACGCTGCCGACATTGGACGCCTACTTGCTCACAGATCTACGGGACGCCAAAGTTCTGGTCCAGTTTGGTGGCCAAGGAAGCGGATACCTCGGCGAACTCGCGCAACTGGTGAAGTCGTTTGAGACCGTGCGCGACTTGGTCAGCAGGGCTCAAGCAGCATTGGAACATAACGTTACTGCATTGGCCAACGAAGCTTCGTGTATCCTGCACTCACTCCTATTGGCCGATCACGAATTGATAGCTCGACTGTCGAAATCCGCTTTGTCCCGGGCGTGTGTGAGCTACCCGCTGGTGTTTTTGACGCAGTTGGCATCGTACGTGGCCTACTTGGAGACTGGGGGATTGACCCATCAACGCTTTCTTCCCACGATCTGAGGAGGAACTGGTCACAGCCAAGGCCTCGTAGCTGCAGTGCTTCTAGCAGCCGCCACCACACAAAACGAACTCGTGGAGCTGGGACTTCAGTTCGTGCAACTCATGCATTATCATGGCGTCCTCGCCCAAGCAGCCTTCGATGCCGTCAACGACAGAGTGCCCAAAGTTGTCGGCACCGTGGCGACCCCCATGCTCTTGGTCCGAGGTTGGTCAGAAGCATTGCTGAGTGGGATTGTGGCAGAATTCAATCTCGATACAGCACCCCACAACCCCCCGGTCGAAATTTCTCTAGTGAACGACGCCAACTCGATCGTCGTTACGGGGGTTCCTACGGCGCT